TTTCTGATCAGACTAAAGTATTGTTATTTTGGTGATTGAAAACTCTGAAATACAGTTATTTGATTTCAATTGCAGTTTAGCATAAAGTATTGAATTTTGGTTATAACTCTTTTGAGTTATAAAATTGGACCAGTTGAAAATAGTCATGATTTGAGATCACATTACATGAAATTTTCATGCTACACATCCATACTTGATCTATGTCATTAATTATGTCAACATAGTGACCATTGATGGGTCTTGTTATGAAATATGTAACGAAGGTCACTTTGATCCTATATTGATATGATTGATGGACCAGATTGTCTAGAGATGTTATTTTAGAAAGATAACAAAATTGAGCTCTTACAGTTATTTCAGAATGTATAATTATATGTATATATATATGTGGCCAGAAGATTGTTGGAAAATTTTTATATGTGGGTCAATATATTTTATACATATAAATAAAGAATTATACATTAGACGCTATCTAAAATTAAGCCAATTAAATTTGTGATCTATTTGAGTATTAAATTATTATTTGGCTTATGTGGCATCTCAATTAATTTTGTATGGAATTAATTTGTGTAGAGGCCGGGTATTTATTTTATTTTTATGATGGGCTGAAATAAAATATTTACACTTAAAGTATATAAGGGTCATGGTCCCCAGTTTAAGCGGTTAAGTTCTCATTTCCCTCATTTCCCATCTTGAGTGAAAAGAAGGGGTCTCTCGCTCTCTTGGAGAACACCGCTCTAAACGTGGAAGATCGAAAGACCTTAATTCTGCTTTTAAATGGATTCAGGTACGCTTCCAAAAATTCTTCTCGATGATTTAGCATGTCGTTCGGAGACGATCGAATTGATTTTTGTGTCTCCATTAAATCCTAACAGTTCATTCACATCCTATTTCAAATTTCCTTGCTTGAACCTTAATCAACCCTTAATTAAAGATTTTTTGGATGTTGATTGAACCATAATTGAATATTGTTTGAACCTAAGATGAATAATCTTTATATTTTCAAATAAGGTTTGAATAATATTTGATTTGAGTAGGATTTGAACATGATAATATCAATGTTTGAATAATATTTGATGAAGGTTTGATTGAGATTCAAGTAATGTTCAAATCTGGTTCTTTAGTTGTATTATGTATATATATCATGTTTAATCATATGGATATAGAGATATTGTATTTCTCGAGTCACTGATAGAAAGTACTTGAATAAATTAAAGAACCCTTGGCTGAATTTTAATTTAAGCAATCCCGAACACATTCCACAAGAGGAAATATGGGGAATAATAAGAAAATATTTTTAATTGATGATATATGGTAAAAAACAAACAAGATTTAATGGATCTTCAATTGGAGGGAAAGATTTGGCTATCCCAAATCCCTATCCTCCTTTTAGAGCTCAATAAATCTAAGAATAATCTAAATTAATAAATAAGATATAACCGTAATCCTAGGAAAATAACTTATATATATATATAAACATACAATAATGATATAATCCCAAAATAGCCTCTCATTTGAATTTTCCCTCCTAACCAAGCCTTAATTCCCTTCTTCATTTGGTTGTTGGACCCCACCCTAAAGGAGGTGGAAGTTATTGGGCAAAACTTCTATTCAGCCTCTTATACTAGCTTGTCCAGAAAGGACTAGTCTAATAATACAGCCTTTCCAAAAATCCACCTTGTTCTTAAAGTGTAAGAACAAAAACTTATATTTCACTCTCTTGTAAGATTCCCATGTGGCATCATAGTTGGGTAGGTTCTTTCACTTTATCAACACTTCCTTAAGCTTACTCTCTCCCTATAGTACCCCTTTCACCTCCAGTGGTTCCAATACCACTTCTAAATATTTTGTTAGTGTTAAGAGTAACTCTGATTTGGGGTATGATCCCTTATAGCTATCCTCAATAATGACATGTGAAACACTAGATGTATAGTAGTAGTCAGGGGTAACTTCAAGTTATAAGCTACTTCTCCAATCCTCTCCAGAATTTTATAAGGACCAAAATATCTCAAGGCTAACTTTTCATTCCTCCTGTTAGCTACCGTCCTTTATTTTTAGGGACGAAGCTTCAAGTATACCTTATCCTCTATCTCAAATTGAATGTCATTTCTTTGTGTATTTACCTGATTCTTTATGATTTTCTGAGATCTCAACAAGTGCCTTTTTAATTTATCCAACACCCTATCCCTTTCCTCTAAATACTACTCTATTGAAGAGACATGTGTGCTACTCTGCCTAAAGTGCACCAAGTGAGGTGGGTCCCTTCCATACAACACTTTGAAAGGAGTCATTTGAGAATCTGAATAATACGAAGTGTTGTACCAGTACTTTGCCCATGCCAGTTACATAGCCCATATTTGAGGTATCTTTGAAAAAAAAATATTGCTGGTACATCTCCAAGCTCATGTTTACCACCTCCATTTGCCTATCTATTTAGGGGTAGTAAGTGGTGCTTCTTTTTCGGATATTCCCCTGCAGTTTAAACTACTCCCTAAAAAATGATTGAAGAACACCTTATCTCGGTCGGACATTATAGACTCCAGTATTCGATGTAGCCTGACCATCTTTGATGAAGGTTGCTGTCACATTCAATGTTGTGTAAGGATGTCGTAGAGGAATAACATGAGCATACTTGCTCAATCTATCCACCACTATGAAAATTATTATAGACCCCTCAGATCGGGGTAATCCATCTATAAAATTTATGGTGACCTCCTCCCACACTATGTCTGAAAGAGCTAGTGGTTGTAGTAATCCCCCTAGAGCCATGGCCATGTATTTACTCCTATGGCATACCCCATATCTACCCATTATCTTCTCCACATTCTTATGCATCCCTTTCTAATACAACTCTATTGCTAATCTTCTATATGTTTGTTGTACCACTTAATAACCCTCAACAGTGCTCCTGTGAAACTCTTATAGAAGGTGTGGAATATGGATCAAGGTTCCTGGTAACAAAAATTTCCCTTGGTACAATAATCTCTCCCCCTGTAAGGAATAACTAGGGTGGCTACCCTCATCCCTCAATAGATCCTACCTAGTACTCCTCAACTCCTTATCCTTCATACTTTACTCATTAATAGCCCCTCAATCCAACATCAGCGGTGCCAAAATGACTAACTCCTAGAGCTCTCATATGCATCTTGATAAGGAATCAACTACCATATTCTCTAGCATCGGCTATACTAGATATCAAAATTGTACACTAATAGCTTTGATAGTCACCTTTGATGCTCATCCGGTGCCATCCTCTACTCTAACAGGTATTTCAAGCTCCTATGGTCTGTCCTAACAATGAAATGTCAGCCCAACAATCAAGAGCACCACTTTTGAATGGCCAACATAATGACCATCAGCTCTCTCTCATATACTTTAGCTTAGCTCTAGCTGTCAACATAAGGCTTAAGTAAGCTATGAGCCTATGATTCTATATGAGCACTGCTCCTAATTCATATCTTAATGCATAAGTCTTTATCATAAAAATCTAGTTGAAATTTGGTAGGGTTAGGATAAGTACCGTGGTCATGGCCTTCTTTAGTCTCTCAAAGTCCTGGGTAGTTATCTTTCCCCATAAGAAGCTATTATTCTCCAGATGCTTTGTCAATGGTCATGCTATGGTGCTATATCCCCTCTCAAACCTCATGTAGTACCTAATTAACCCTAAGAAACCCCCCAGTTCCCTCAGATTCTTATGTATCAACCATTTCAATATTTTCTTAATCTTGGTCTGATCAGTAGCCACCCCCTCTTGAGATACCACATTTGGCTATGCAAAATAACACCTCTTTAGGTTGGCCTTTAGCTGACATTCCTTACCTATAATATTACCCTCAAATGTTCCAAAATCTCCTCACTTGACCTGT